TTTATCTTTTAAGTTTTGACAGACTGATTTTGCCGTTGCTGTTCTGATCGGTATGGCTTCGACCCATTTTGAAAAGGTGTCCTGGAATGTCATTATATATTTGTTTCCTTTGCTGGATGTTGGAAGGGGTCCTATGATGTCGGTTGAAACGGTGTGCCATGGATGTGGGGGAATTTGTGTAGATTGCATGCGGCCTGGAGTTAAGCTTTGTTGCGGCTTAAATTGCTGACAATTCTTGCAGTTCCTGACGAACTTTGCGGCGTCTTTAAACATCCCTGGCCAGTAGTATTTTCTAGCTAGGCGGGTTATTGTTTTAGCTATTCCTAGATGTCCTGCGGTCGGTTGCTCGTGGTTTTCTGCCAGGAGTTGTTGTCTCTTGTGGTTTGGGATGCATAGTTTCCAGGGGTTGGATACCTCTGTCTCTTTTAAATCGTATTTGTCCCAGAAGTGTCGATAGAGAAGTCCATCTTTGATAGAGTAGTCTGGAAATAGTTGCGGATTTGTCTGGATTTTATTTAAAGCTTTATTGTACCATTCGTCGGGTTCTACATCTTCTACGTTTATTAAGCAAACCAGATCTACTGGTTCTCTAGAGAGCGCGTCGGCCAGGACGTTCTGGGAGCCCTTTCTGTAAATGACATCGAAGTCAAATTGTTGCAGCAGCATTGCCCATCTAGCTATTCTACCTGTAGGGTTTTCCATTGTTTGTAAGTATCGTAGACTTTGATGGTCTGTGATAATTGAAAATGGGTATCCTTCGATGTAGGGTTTCATCTTTTCTACACCGAAGATGATCGCTAGTAGTTCTTTTTCTGTCACGCTGTAATTTTTTTCGGCCTTTGTTAGGTTTCGACTTGCGTAAGCGATGACTTGTTCCTGTCCTTCGTCGTTTGTTTGTACTAAAGCTACTCCTAAACCGTGGTTCGAAGCGTCCGATTGTAAAAAAAATCTTTTCTGGAAGTCCGGGCAGATCAGTATTGGAGCTTGTGTCAGTAGTACTTTTATTTTGTTGAATGCTTCCTCTTGCTCTCTGTCCCAAGTCCAATGTTGTTTTTTCTTTAGTAGCTTTGTTAAAGGGGCTGTAGTTCGTGAAAAATCTTTTATAAATCTCCTATACCATGAGATGATGCCCAAAAATCGGCGTAGTTGTTTAACGGTTTTTGGCGCGGGATATTCGACTATGGCTTTTGTCTTGTTTTCGTCCACTTTTATTCCCGTCTTGTTTACTACATGGCCTAAATAATTTATCTCTTCTTTGCAGAATTTACATTTGTCTATATTAATTCGTAATTTGGCCTGCTGTAGTCTGTGAAGTACTTCTTTTAAGTTTTCCATATGTTCCTCGAACGTTTTCCCCAGTACTATTATGTCGTCTAAATAGGCGAATGCATGTGGTTCCATTTCTGGGCCGATTATTGTATCTAGTAATCGTTGAAAAGTAGCGGAGGCGGCGTGTAATCCGAATGGAAGTACTTTGAACTGGAATAGTCCTTTTCCTGGTGCTATGAAAGCGGTCAAGGGTTTGCTTGCTTCGGAAAGTGGTACTTGCCAATATCCATTTTTTAGATCCAACGTGGTAAAATATTTTGCAGATTTTAACTTTTCTAGGATATGATTGATGTACGGTAATGGGTAGGCATCTTTTTCTGAGATGTCGTTGATTTTCCTAAAATCGATGCAAAATCTGTATCCGTTGTTATCCTTCTTTTTTACTAGGACGATGGGGGAACTGTACGGGCTATTAGATTTTTCTATGACGTTCTCTTCTAGCATCTTATCTATCTCATCGTTTATGATCTTCTGCATTGCCGGGTTTCGGGGCCTGTATCTTTGTTTGATCGGTGTATTATGTTTAAGTTTTATTGTATGTTCGGTTAGATGTGTTGTTCCTTTAATGTGTTTAAATTTCTCCAATTCGGTTAGTAACAATTCCTGTAATTGTTTTTTTTCGGTATTGTTTAGTGTAGTACTAATGTCGAGCTGCTCTCGTTTCGGACTGTTCGTGAATTCCGGTATGTATGACGGAATGTCTTCGGTCTGGTCGTCGGCCGCGGTATCGGTCGGTAGTTCGGTATATCTTCGGTCTGGTTGTCGACCGCGGTATCGGTCGGTAGTCGGTATATTTTCCGTCTGGTCTTCGACCGCGGTATCGGTCGGTAGTTCGGTATATCTTCGGTCTGGTTGTCGACCGCGGTATCGGTCGTTAGTCGGTATATTTTCGGTCTGGTCTTCGACCGCGGTATCGGTCGGTAGTCGGCAGGTCGTTTTGTTATATATTTTGCTTCTCTGTTGGAGCGGATATCTTGCGGTTGGTGTTTCGTTAACCCTGGAATTGGTCGGTATTCTGTTATTGTCTGCATTGTACGATCTGGATCTGTGTTCTGTTCTGGTTTGGTATTGTTCTCTCCTTCTTACGCGATTTCTATTTAAGATGTTTGATAAATCAAGGCCCCATCTTGTTATTTCATGCATTCCCAGTACTACTTCTGAAGCTAGGTTTGGTAAAAAATGTAGCTTGGCTTTTCTCCAAACGTTGTCTATGGAACATTTTGCTGTAAAACAGATTTCTATGTTGCTGGTTTTTCCATCTGCCAGCGTGATCTTTAAAGCTTTTCTGTCGCTTTTTGTTCCACATTGTTCCAATATTTTTTTACCTTTTTGTCCTATAAACGAATTTTGGGCTCCTGTGTCTATTAGTGCTTTTAACTTTTTACCGTTGCTGAACGTTATCGTTGTGTGGGGTCGTTGATCTTTATAGTGTGCGTAGCTGGAGGTTGTTAGGGAGGACTCTAAATGCTGACTGGGTTGCCTCCTTCTTGTCCAGTCCTGTTGGAGTTTTCCGGTCGGCTTCTACATTGGCAGTTATTGGAAGTTGTTCCTCGGGTTCCGCAATGGCTGCAGAAGAGTACAGCGATAGCTCTGCAGTTTCTTCTATTGTGGCCTCTGCGGCCGCATTTCCAACAACAAGTCTGTCTGTCGAAATTCTGTATTTTGTTATTACGACTATTTGCCTGTGTCCAGTCGCACCTTGTATTGTTTCTGTTATATATTTCTTTTTGGACCATATCATATTCTTCCGCTAGTCTGATGATGTCCTGTGTTGACGATACGTCTTGCCTCTTTATATACAACTTGTATGTCGGGTTCATATTGGTGTATATCCTGTTTAGTTCTTCTTGGTGATTGAATTCACCATGTCTTCTGATCATTGTTTGAATATCAATGATGTAGTCTTTTACACCTTCGTTGTTTCGTTGGAGTCGGTTCCGGATTTGCGCTTCCAGAGATTGCGTGAGAACGGAGGAAACGAAGAAATTGCGGAAATCTTGTTCGAAGTCTTTTAATTCGTTCCAATATTTATTATTGTTTCTGTACCATAGTAATGCTTTCCCGTTTAATGTTTCTGGTAGAGCTTGTAAAACGTGGGTGTCTTGTAGGCCGTAAGCTGTCTGGAGTTCTTTCAACCGTTCTATGAATTCTATTGGGTCTCTTGAACCGTCAAAGTGTAACCCCCATTTGCGTACTATTTCCATCTTTCTTTGTCTGTCTTCCATCTGGTTTTCTTCTATTTCCTCTGGGTTTTGGCCTTTTTGAGTTGGTGCCTTGATGATCGCAACTAATCTCGCTCTTAGCTCGCTGAAATTCCCTTCCGTCGACTGTTCTCTGTTTGTTAATTCGGCTATAAGTTCGTCTTTCTTTAATAGGTACACCCAACTAACCTTCGACGTTTCCGGAGCGTCTGTCATTTTTGAACTGTGAATCACCCTGTATTTGAATAAAGTTTGAAATGCAGTACTGTCTCATGAAAATAAAATTCGGAATTCGGTCGTTATTATTGTTTAAATCGAATTTTTCTGCTCGGGCGCCATCTGTGACGTCCTCTCGTAGGAGTCACTATCCGGGTAGCTTTTGGACAGTCAGAGACAGAGTTTAAAATAAAAATAAAACTTTATTGTCTTCCTTAAATTAAATTGACAAAAATCTTATGTACATATTTACAATTTAGTTTAGTCTTCTCAGTACCTGGCCTATTTATTCAAATTAAGTTTGACCTTGTCGTATGAAATTAGTGTTATCGGCAATCAAGTGTGTTTTCGAAATTTTACGTGAACGATGTGTCGATTTAATAACAGCGGACGATAGGTACAAAGGAAAGAAAGAAACTCAACACGTCCCTCAAGTGATTCGGGTTAATAGGACACTCCTCGACAGTCTCAACACGACTGCTTCGGAGTACGGGTAGTGGAGAGCTCAACACGCTCTCCGGATAACGGCGGTATGGAACGGAAACAACTTGTGAACTCAACACGTCCACAAGCCGGGGTAGGGGAGAAGAGAACCTTCAGTCAACACCTGACGATTCTGCCTCTATGAGGAAATAATGCGGTTTATATAGCAAAGATTTGCCCTTTCTACTGTCGATACACTCCTACTTCATGGGTTGGTTCGCGCGCACGCTGGTTTAACGGTGATGGCTTGGACTCATCGTTACAGTTTACAAAATTGTTTAGAATATAAATTTTTTTTTTTATTAATTTTAGTTAAATTTAATAAGGAAGGTCTTAATCGTTTAATTATCTACTCTTAATAAGTAAAATATATTGATTAAGTTTTTCGCTATTCGCATTAGTAGTAATTTTGTGACCAACAACACTCATTTTAAAATACAAACCAATCAACTATGTAAGAATTTTCAGCAAAGTAAAAGTATAACAAGTAGAAAAAGCGAGGAAATATCCGTAATAACAAAGATACCCTTGGATATCAGGAAAATATCTTGCGGAGAGTCCATGGACTTCGCTCTACTTTCAAGTAAAGAAAATCCAACTATCATAACTGATTTATATTTGATATGAATCAAATTTACATTAAGTTTATTAATTGCTTATAACGGAATGCGTGTAATGTAATAGAAATGTCTATTATTTTCAGTTGTTTGTATTTGAATAAATAATTGTTTCCCGTTTTATTCCGTAATGTTTTACGTGTAACTATTCTAGATCACAATCGATGAACCCCGTATCGCACTCTTATGATTCATCAAGTCCGTCATTAACTGATCACCATTCAAAAAACGTGAGTGCTGCGTCTGTTGCCGGGAACACACAAGAATTGCCCACCAGCAACTTGATCTACAACGAAGAGGATCCAGCAAATCAGTCCAGCGCGGTAGCAGGCGTAGAAAAAAATCCAGAAATCCTACAGGAGAACGTGACAAAGGGGGCGGCGGAGAAAGAGGCGAGAGATCAACCTCAAGAAGTGCGAGAGAAAACAGAGATCCTAATAAAGAACAACCTCACAGGTACATCACAGGCCAAATGCTCGCCTACAGAAGAGATCTCATTCCCAGGTAATTAATTTTCTATTTACCAATTTAATAACTGCTAAAAACATAAAAGGGGAAAATCCCAGTTGTTGGTTGTATACCATTGTTTAAAAAAACTTACGTAGAAGTAAAGACTTCTTGTGTATAATGGTATTATTTATTAAAAAATAATTTAAAATTTATTCAAAAGGAATACAAATCTTCAAAACGTTTTCGGTCCAGTCTGGCCATCGTCGTGCAGAAACACTTATATTACATGAAAATCATGGTTAGGTAGTTTTAATATTGTAATGACACTAGGTCGATGTTATAAGATTTAACATGAAGAGAACATATATCTTCCCTGCTTAAAAAAGGGACAGCAACTAGCTGTGTCATGCCTATCTTCATCTTAGTTTGGCTATCCTTTTGATGACGTCAGTCACCTTGGTTCTTTTCCTGATCTCTCCGTTATTTTTATTGTCTCGAAGGTTATTACTAACATCAATCGCTCCATGCTTCTCTGTGTGACTCTCAGTTTGGTACCCAACGCTTTTGTTAAGTGTTTCTGCTCTATGTGTCAACACTGGGAGGACGTCCACTTTTAAAAGTTTCTCTCAATTTTCCATATGCTGTCCATCCAAGACCGACGGGTACCAAATTTGCATTATTTATGTTTTCACAACGTTTATATTGTCTGTAGCCACAACGAGTTTCTGTTTCATGCCATTCCTATTTCCTCAGCTATTATGGCTTTATGCAAAACGTAAGTTGTTTAGATATTCTCCATCTATTTTGATTTCTTTTGTCAGCCAATCCAAATTCTTAAAAGCACGTTCCTGCACAGTATTAAAAAAATTAGGTTACATTGGGCCTCCTTGTTTAACTCTACGCTCTATTTTTATGCGATTACTATTAGTAGTATGACAGTAGTTGTTTCCTGCATTCTTTAAGCGCCTGTAGTATTTTGCTTAGCTTAACTGTGTCAAAGGCTTTGTAAAAATCGACAAATATTAGCACTAGAGGTTTATCGTATTCCACTACTTTCTCTATTAGGGTTTTTATACTTTGTTTGTGGTCATTAGTTCCGTAACTTTTTAGGGATCCTACCTGCTCTCTTATTTGACAAGTCTCTAATTGTCTTTCCATTCTTTGAACTATTATTCGTGTAAACAACTTGATGATATACTCGATCCAGCGAGTCTGCACACTATCAATCTATACAAAATCAATTAAAAGGTTTAACTCAACGATCTGTCGTCAACTTAGCCCACGAAATTGAACACTAAGATAGTTGATAGGGGTTAAAATACGAGTATAGATTGATATTAAAGTAGCCTTTGATAGATGGCGCTACTTGATACCGAATTGGTTTCGGCGTTGACATTTGACATTCATGAGATGACGTCTGTCAAAATTCAAATTTTGTGTTTTCGGAGAAATGGATAAAGTCGAGTATCGTTCGGTGATTAAGTTCCTTCACAAAAAAGGTAAAACGAATGTGCAAATCAAAGCCGACCTGGATGAAGTTTATGGTGAGGTTCACCTTCGTTAGCAACAGTAAAATTTTGGAAAGCTGAATTTGTTCGTGATCGTATGAGTGTTTTTGATGATGAGCGTCCGGAAGGCCAAATGAAGTCACCACGCCGGAAATGATCAACAAAGTCCATGACATGATTATGACAGATCGTCGAATTAAGCTCTGCGAGTTAATAGAGGTCTTAAATATTTCATACGAACGCGTACATAACATCATTCACCATCAAATTTGCCGCGTTTGCTGACAATCGATCAAATGCAAAAACGTGTGACCACTTCGGAGACTCTTTTGGCGACGATACGGCGCGATCTGAAGGATTTTTTTCGTCGATTTATCATCGTTGATGAAACCTGGGTCCATTATTATACACCGGAAACCAAAGAACAGTCGAAACAGTGGCGCAAACGCGGCGAACGGCCGCCGAAGACGGCAAAGAGTGCACACTCGGCCGACAAAGTGATGGGGACTGTTTTCGGGGATGCGAAGGGCATCATCCACATCGACTACTTGGAAAAAGGAAAAACAATCAATGGTGATTACTACGCAACATTATTGGATCGTTTCGACGCCGAATTGCGTCGAAAACACCCCGGTTTGGAACGCAAAAAAGTGCTCTTTCACTAAGACAATGCACCGACTCACCGATCGGCCGTCGCCATGGCAAAATTAAACGAATTGGGCTATGAATTGGTTGAACACCCACCGTATTCCCCAGATCTTGCCGCCAGCGATTTTTTCCTGTTTCCAAACCTAAAAAAATGACTCGGAGGACGCCGTTTCGCAACAAATGATTAAGTCGTCGCTGAAACTTCCGCCTATTTTGAAGAGCTCGAGCTAAAGTACTATTCGGATGGGATAAAAACATTGGAACATCGTCTTACTAAGTGTATCGAGCTAAAAGGGGACTATGTTGAGAAATAAATCAATTTAATTCCAAAAAACTAGTTTTTTCTATCAAGGGCTAGTTTTATATCAATCCAGCCTCGTAATTATTTTTCAAAATAAAAAAATACTGCCAGCAGGAATATTACTATTAAAACGCAGGAATGGCGCCATTTTGACTTTGTCAAAACTCGAAATTCCTAGTATCAATCATGGACTCATCATATTGCTGTCTTTGATGTATTCTATTGTAAACAAACAAGCTACTTCATTTAATGGTTTTAGGTTTTGTGGTTAGAAAAGCAAGGTGCAAACACGAGCAAACGAACTTTGACAGTGATAAAACATATTCGATAACTTTGTTTTCGGTGTAATGATTGTGTATAACATATTGAATTGGGTATATTGTTTTTTTTTGTTTATATTTAAGAAGAAATTAAAATGGATTTAACAATAGACTAATTAATACTTAATAATACTAAGTTCTAAGAATTAAATAATATTTGTATTTTTTAGAAGGGACGAAGAATGGATCTAGAAATTCATTGCACAAAATTTTAGACGTTATGGAGGAGAGACTAATTCGTAGTTGTGATGATTCTAAAGCAGTAGATAACAGAATGCTGGATCCGGATGCGATGATCGAATCTCTAGATCGATTTACAGCAGAACTGGTATCACAGGCTAGCCATCTGAATAAGGAAGAAAATTATAAGGTATCTACAGGTGATAATACTTGGAATGAAGAAGTATCACCCAACGATGTCACATTTCCAAGTATTTCCGGTAGTGCACCCAACGTTATTACATTCAGTAATGAAGAAGAGGAGATTGTGGAAGGTAAGATTTCCCAGTTATACACAACAAATAAAATAACTTAAAACAATTGTAGCTGATGGCAATAAATTTATTTTACATTAATTGATTGGGAATTCTAATTCAATGTAATACTTTTGCATTATTCTTTTTCTTCTTCTTCTTTTTATGTAGACATGACTCTGTCTGTTTTTCAATGTGCCTCCAGTAAGTTGTCGTTCCATCGTTTTCATGGTCTTCCTACTGATCATGTTCCTATTGGGGAACCGTCTCTTGTCGTCTTTACTACTCTATTTATTGTCATTCGGCTTATATGGTCGTTCCATTCTACTTTTCTATTTCTTATCCAGTCCTTGATGTTCTCCACCTTGTATCTACGTCGCATATCGGTACTTCTAGCTCTGTCCCATAGTGTTTTACTATCAATTTTTCAGTGTTTTCATTTCTGCGGTTTCTAGCATCCTTTTTGTCCTCTCTGTGTCAGGTCGTGTTTCTGCCACGTAAGTCATTATTGATCTGATGACTGTTTTGTAAATTCTGCCTTTCATTTCTTTCTTGAAATTTTTATTTCTCCATATTGTTTCATTCAGGCATCCTGCGTCTCTATTTGCTCTATTTACTTGATCTTCCACTTCTGTTTCGAGCTTTCTGTAGCTGGATAATGTGATGCCTAGATATTTAAACTTCATCACTTGTTCTATTATCTCACCTTCCCGCTCCAATTTACATCTTAGTAAATTTGCTGTTAGAACCATGTATTTTGTCTTTTTTGGGGAAATTGGTGCAGCATACGTTGTAAATCACCTTCACTTTGAGAGAGTAGAATTGCGTTGTCTGCTTAGCAGATTTTATATTAAGTTTTTTTTCTCCTATTTGTTATCCTGGTATCCTTTGTTAATTCTTACTTTTTAGTATTTCATCCATAATCGGGTTGAACAATAGAGGACTCAGGGAATTTCCCTGTCTTATTCCATTGCCAGTTTCAATTTGGTCAGTTAGTTCTTCTACTTTTACTTTTATTGTGTCATTTTGGTAGATATTTTCGATCGTTTTGATTATTCCCAAAGGTAAAACAAGTGGATAACGTCCTTTAATTTGACCCGGTCAATACCTTCTTAAGGTCCACGAAACATAGATATGCCGGTTTGTTGTGTTCTAATGATTTCTCTTGCACTTGCCTCATTATAAATATAGCGTCGGTGCATATCTTCCCGACCTAAAACCTTGTTATTCTGCTAGTAGTATAATTTCATTTAGTTTATTAGTTATCTCTTTGGTTGTTAATTTTAGTGTTGTGTTTAATAAATTAATTCCTCTATAATTTTCCGGATCCGATTTTTCTCCCTTTTTGAATAGAGGTATTAGGATACTTGATCTCCATTCTTGAGGAATTCTGTTTTGTTTTATTATTTTTTGGATTAGCTTTAGTAGTTGTTTGGTCAGATCTGGTCCTCCGTACTTAGGAGTTCGTTTGGTATTCTATGCTCTCCTGGTAATTTTCTGTTTTTTAGTTTCCTTAATGCTTCCTTTACCTCTTCCTTCCCGATATTTATTTCTTCGTTTGTCATTACCTCTGGTTTTTGCAGTTCATTATCGTCACCTTTAGCAAATAGGGATCGTAAGTAGTCTACCGATGTTTCCTTCTGAATATGTTTCGTTTTTATTAGTTCGTTCATTTCTTTTCTTAGTCCTCTGAGCATTCTCAGTATTTCTTTCTGTGTTCCATAGAAGTCGTGTTCCATCTGTTTTGAGAAGCTGTGCCAGTGTTCTCTTTTTATTTGTCTAATTAAAGTATTCGTTTCATTTCTGATTCATTTATAGTGGTTGTATGCCTGTTGTGTTTGTTGTGTTCTGTATTGTAAAAAGGCGTTTTTTCTCTCTTCACATTTTGTATTTACTTCCTCTGTGAAACTATTATTTTCAATCTTGGAATAAACGTTGATATCAGCCACTGTTTTGCTATTATAGGCGTCGAATATATACGGTTGTAAAGTTTGACTAATATCTCTTTCTATCCATAATCAATTAGATTTATTAACTTTATAAGTATTTCGTCGAGTTGTACAGCTTTTCTTTTTTTAATTTGTTTTATTGTCTTAATATGTCTTAGTCTGTTTTATAAACTACTTCCAAGTCTAAGATGTATGGTTCTTTGATGATAATGGTATTTGTTTATTGTATCAATTGTGAATAACGTCCTTCAGCCTGATTCTGCCAAAGGCTTTTTTTTAAGTCAGTCAAGCGAAGCAACTGTGGTCGATTTTATTCTAGTGCCTTTTCTGTGATTTGTCTTATGACAAATACTGCATCTGTACACAATATTCTGTTTTAGAAGCCTTTTATTCATCCTCAAGTGATATTTTCTCGGTGATTAACCAATTAGCCTATATTTGTCCACTGCTAAACGTAGACCCCCTTAAAATTTTCCACCTATTTCTATCTTTAGCTTCTTGCATCCAATTTTGGTGATACGCTTTATCATTTCATTTCGTTTAGCTTCATATCAAATCGTTTATTAATTTCGTTAAAATATTTTCATTAGTTTCAGCGTGGTGTTCAATAGATTGATTCCTCTATAGTTTTCCGGATTTTTTTATATTTATTAAAGATCAGGATTAGTACACTTATTTTTCATTCTTTGGGTACTTTGTTGTACTGTAATATTTTGCCGATTTTTTTTCTACACTCTGGTTTCTGGTTTGTTCACCAGTTGTAATTTCTGGTGTTTCTGGTTCTGCTTGGCCGGTTGGTCTTCTGAGTACAATCTTTTTAAGTAATCAATCCACGTATTTGTCTCTATGCCTTTAACTTCTGATGCTCTCATTTCTTGTCTCTGTCCTATTATAAATTTGCTCATTTCCTTTTGTAATCAATAGAAGTCGTGTTCGAGATCTTTTGAGAAAAAATAACGAATTATTTTGGTTTTTCGAACAAACCTGTGTCTCATTGCGACTTCTCTTAGAAGAATTCGCAAGAAATTCGAGCATTTAGAATAATCGTTTTTATTTTTAACCAGCTCTCCTCTACTTCATCATCATCCGCGATTCCGTTGCTGTTTATTGTTAGTCTCCTTTCTTGTAAGTACTTTGTTGAGTCATCTTGTGGGTATTCAACTGATATTTTTGTGATTTTTTTGACACCCTCGTATTGCTATTGTATTTACTGACTTATAAAATAATTGCTAAAAATGTGTTGTATTTTGTAAATTTTGTTTTATTTACTGAACATATTTTTTATACCTAAAATGTTTAATTTTTTAGAATTAAGAGTGGACGAATTGAAAGAGGACGTACTAGATGAAGGAAACCCATCCAACGATTTTTCTTCAATAAACACATCGACGATGACAGACAGTACACTAATAGCAATAGAAGCAAGTAAAATGGCTACAGCGTTTAAACAAGAAGCCGAAATGTCTACGAGCATAACAAGCGCCGCTTCTCTAGAGTTAGATCACGTTCAGCCTCCATCAAATATGAATTCATTAACAAACAGTGCGGTAGGACTTCCCAGAAGTCCTAAATTACCCAAAAGGAAAAAGTCGTTACCTCCTTCATTGATGGTTCGAAGAGCGTTAAGTAATTCGTTAAATAACGGTTCAAGTTTGGAAAGTCTGTCCAACTTGGATCACGTAAATCCTCCATCTGATCTGCTGTATGATATGGAAGGAAGTATGACTAGTGTTGCAAGTTTACCCAACGATCATAGAGCTGATTTTCTAATTAACGGTCTTATCAATAATCCACAGAGTACGCAACATCCAATATTTGATTTGAAACAACCTTTTAGTGAATTAGAAAACATCAACCCACCATCGCTTTTTAACGAAATCACAGACTTCTGCAATTCTTTAGCAGATGTTCCCACAGAGGCAATAGGCAGCGAGACTGAGATTTTTGAAGACTGCTTTACTCATGTTGTTGATGAAGATGGTACTGCGGCCGATGTAACCATTGCTGAAGATATGGTAGATGGTACAGAATCAAGTACGTACAAATATTTTCTATAATACATAAATCGATTTAGTATTTACTTACTATACCTAACGATACTCAATATTTCTTAGGTAAACATTGCTGAAGTTATCTTATTCATTGAAACCTCTTATACCCGTATTGAACTTTACTTATATGCTTTAGTCACATTATTTTCTAGACCTAACAGACAACAAATGTGCCACACAAAGTTCTGCTGTATTTCATCTATTATTTAATATAGCTGATACTTTTCCTTAAAAACAAATTTATTCATTTGATTATATCTTTGATCCATACGAGCCCTAACAACTATATGTATATATAAGACTATACAGAATCATTCTCTCTCCTGAAGTCACCCAATATGTAGCTTCTTAGAGTTTTATAATAATTTTTAAACTGTTTGTTCTTTGTCTCGTGTTGTGTAAATGTATCAGTTAATGTTTATGACATTCACCATATCGCTGGTGACCTGGCAATACCTCCTAAGTGATGTCAACCACTTTTTTCAGGAGAAACACGAAACTGATTAAATCGTTACTATAAGGACTTTTTTATTATTTTTTAAGCTAGTGTTTTAAATAATATAAGCTATAACGTTGTTTTAAAATAAAATAGTAGAATAGTTAAATTATGTATTTATTAGGACACTTAGGATATATTGATTCTTAAATATTGATATGATAAAAACACTTTATTTTCCCTATAGGAGAAAATGATATAATAAAAAACATTGCTAACTTTTCTTTTCAAACTTAAAAAGTTATTTCTTACAACTTAAAACAAAAAAAAAATAATAGAAACAAGTTTGTTTTAGGGTATTTTGTTAAATATGCACACATATTTTTTAAAATAATGATTCGGAACTTCAAAATTATTCATGTAAAAGTGCATCGTAAAATGCATGCGTATCTTTGGGAAGAACTGATTTTAACTCCTGCAGATGTTACCACTTTTCAGACTTAATTTTGCATGGTCCTTGTAACAGTTTGGGATGTTCCAATATTGTTGGCATAGTTTTTGGTCTACATGGTAGTTCTTTGTATTCGTCCTTATAATCTAATTTTACTCTTATAGTGCCGCATAGATCATTGAATACTCTTGATCTCATTGATATTACTAGATCGTTGGTTTTTCTTCCAGGCCTAATAGAAGAGTATCTAAAATACTTAGAGGAGGAGAAATCTTTGAAAAATGAAGATTCCAGCAGTCGAGTTCTGTAAGGGGCATGAGTTTTTCTCGCTTCCTTCGTTACTGACTCATGATCGCTAGGCAAATGGATTTATCTATGCCTAAGACATCTTTCTATAACGCTATGTATCAAATCACACTCCATCTGGGTGTGACCCGGCTCAAGAAATTTTTAGTATACAAAGATTTTGTATCTCATAGCAAAATTTAATAGTGCATTAGCTAAAACACTGTTTCTGTTCTGATATCCACATCCATCGGAGAACATCATGATTGGTGTTTTAGAATCAGTCAAGCAATACGTCTTCAAGTAATGCATAATGCAACTTGTGAATGTTGATGCTTTCATTATATTATTCTTATCTTCAGAGAACCAGTAACAGAGGGCATCTTTTGTCCTAAGGTCATACACTGTAAAATTGTGACAACAGACCTCTGTTTTTAAATAGATTTTATTAGCGGAAAGAAAAGGACATAACTTGACTTCCTGCAGATCCATTGTAATGACTATTAGATTGCCTTTTTCCGCTTCCTCTTTATCAGTATTCTTAGCTTCTCTCGCAAGATCTTTCCTTTTTATATGCAACTGATATTCGTCTTCGGAAATATTTCTATATTTTAACGAAAAATAAGTATTGCACTGGTCTTTTTTCGGCTTGTATAATGACAAGTTCTTCTCTTTAAACTTCTTGGAAAAAAATTTCTTCCCAATGGAGTTACTTTTTTGTCGTTGCAAAAGTCATGACAGTAGATACTTTAAAGGTGAGCCATGTTTTCAAAGGTGTTTTCCAGGTATAGTTTAAGAGTATCTCGACGACAGTAATGAGCTGGAAGTTTGGGCAATGATTCAAAAAAGTTATTTAATAATCCATAGTCCGTATCGAATCTCCTTCTTACGTATTCCTTGGTGGTTATACTTGTAGAAGCTTCTTTACTATGTACTCCTATATAAATTAAATAGCAGAAACATCCTTTTAGTTTCGATAAAATTAAGTAATGTGTCTAAAATAGCTTTAACATAACTAAATGAAAATATATGTTGAATAAACAATTGCAATACTTAAGCAGTTAGTATGATTTTCGTAATAAAACGTCAGACAAGTCCAAGCACTTCCGTAGCGCATAACTTTACCACACAAACTAGTTAGATAGGATCATTTGCGTCTTGTTTATTTCCTGTAGTCAGGTAGGAGATTTTTCAATAGCGATTTTAAGGCTCTCGGCTTAATCATACAAATACGAGATTTTAAACAAAGGTGTATCTTTATGCTACATGTTTAAATCTAGAACAATCTCATTTTTGGCAAAAATGGCAGATACGAGGTATTGCCAGGTCACCCGCGATATATTGTTCGATATTTAATTTTGACGAAATGCCCCTGAAGATGCTCTAGGAGCGAAAGTACTTGGGCAAGATTTAATGCTCGACATCTGCCTTTTATTTGATTAAAAATAAATTACTGTTTATAATAGTTTTTAATTTAATATATTTACTAAATATGCTTAATTGTTCTAGTTATGGAAACTGCTTTAGACAACGACGAAGATGAAATTACCCTATTTTCCGATGCCAGAAGTAGTATGGAATCAACACCAAAGAAAATACGAAGTTTAAGTAAATCCATGACTACGAAACAACGGAGAAATCAAGCTAGAGATCGTTACAAAACCTACACGGTAGCTGCGGAAATGGTAATGCGGGAAGAGATTGAGAAGCAAAGAGAAATAAGCGAAAATAGTACTTTAACATGTACGGAACAATTTAAAAGTGCAACAGAAGGTTATCAAACTGCAACTGCTGATAGTCGACTGGCAGATACCGATAGCAATACTAATAGTTACATCAATTCACCTACATATAGTTCTGGAAAAGAAAAATTAACGCCAAAAGAAAGAAGACAGTTAAATAGGTAAGTCGTAACTATTTTTATGTATGTTCAGTGCTAGCGATAAAAATCGGTTGTAAACATTTTGAGATCTTGCTTGGTCCAGTGTACATAATAATATAAATTTTCACCACAGATTAAGAGTACAACGTAGAAACTATAATAAGAAACAGAGATTTAGAAAGAAATGGAACAATTTTCATCAAGCAGCACACCAATGCCTTGCTTTTGCGGATAATTTACCGCTACCTACTGGCTAAGATAAAGAAATTCCTTTTTTTTATAAATTTCCTTGATATAAGTTAGTTTTAACCTTTATTTAATAAACCCAATTGTATTTTTGTGTATCCTTAGGTATTGTCAGATTTGTGTACTGTGGTGGAAATCATGATTAAGGAAGAAGTTAAACATAAAAAATGATAAAAAAATAAACAGGTTTTAAAACAATTTTTTATTTAGTATAAAAAGAATGAAAACAGTTTTTATATATACTAATACAAAGGTATATATTACATTTTGTTTATTTTATGTATGTGCAAGATCTACAATGCGCTTCTTTGCACCGTCGCATTTTATCAAACAACATCTGTCACAGACCTTAGTTGTTTACTTGTGGGAAACATCAGACAACCACCGAGAAAACGACTTGCTGAATCCGAAAATGTTATCTGTCTTGCTCGTTTCTTCGCAGTCAATTTGCCACGTAATATAAGGGATTCAGTCAAATTTTGTCGAAAGTGGATCAGATCTGGGACGTGTTTCTAGCCGTTAATTAATTACTGCTATATCTAAGGACTGTTTATTTTTTTGATCTGTTAAACGATTACATATATCTACTCTTCTCATTCTGTTAGTATTCCCATAAGATTACTGTTCAATAGAATATCACAGTGGTCACTCTAACATTGTTGCCAATTTGCTAGTGTCTTACTCACTCTTGTTCGAGTGAGAAATTACGTGCCTACTATAACTTAAATTTGTATATTATTTTTCAGAAATAAATACCTAAAGAATATTACTACAATTACAATCTACGAACTTTTGTTTACAACAATGCTTTACAGCACACTTATTTTTAATTTTTTTAAAATTAAATAATTACTTTCAAAATTTTATTTTATTTTAAAATTATAATTACACTTAATTTAAAAATAAGAATGCTTTATAGCACAATTATTTTCAACCTGATAACATCCGTTATTCTGTACCTTTGACTACGACTATACAAGACTGGATGAAATTTTCTACCAATTTTATCAGTTAAAGCGCTCGAAGTACGTATCGTTTTAATAAATACCTCTGATCGCCCATGCAACCAATATATTACTAAATCTCGTTTAAAATTGAACCATTACCCTACACGGAGCTTTATTTTTTCATGTAATCGAAATTTTAATCTCTGACCTTAATTCTGAGGAATAAAGTGGGAAGACTTATGTTTCTCTCTCTCTCTGTCTCTCTCTGTCTCTTAGTCTTCGATCTGCCACATTATGAGGCACAACTATGGACCGAAACATGTCGTAGTTTGAACGAAGACCAGACTTTTAGGGAGAAAATGCGGACATTCTTGTTCATAATACGCTGTTGTCTCTAAAATTAATCACAAAAATTTGTTTCTAAAAGTTAGAAGTATTTTTAAATGCCGATTACGTTTTATTTCTTGCAGATCACGTTTCGAAACTCAAGTATTGGACCAAGCCATAACCGATATTCTCCAACAACCTGTGATACACACTGTATACCCCTCCGAAGTGCCCCAGTTAAGTTCCAACTCAAATAGCTGTTCTTCTTCCCCAGCACAGAGCCCCGCTAGAACCAAACTAAGTATTAGACGAAACTTTATGCAAAAAAGACTAGAGAATAGAGAAAGATTCAGGACAAGAACAATAAGTGAATCTAGTTTTTCGCCAGAAATTTCATCTGCATCGCCTCCCTTAAATGGTGAATCAGAAGTACAATTGCATTTACAAAAGGAAGCTAACAGGTAATGATATTGAAACAATTTTATCTATTTTTTTTGTTTTATTAAGGATGACGTAAATATGGATTCTATGTAAGGCGCTGATTTCTCTGAACACACGTCAGCGGCGACGGACAACGGCTGCCGTCAACGTTTGAATGCTACGCCTAAAGGTCGATTCAGACACATCAGTCTCGTCACAGTCTCGGCGCCGAACCGGTCCTGTTTGGTCACAGAACTATCAACTATCTGACAGCTGGCAAACTGTTCGTCAACTGATGAATGTGAATGCCGGCGCCATATTTCTATTAAAGAATATTTTGTATTACGGATTGTACGGTTCGGCGCCAGGACTGTGACGAGACGTGACTGATGTGTCTGAATTGACCTTTAAAGTGTATTCACTTGGTTTCTCAGACACGCCAGCGGTCACGTCTAGTGTCGACGCTTGGCGTTTACCCGCTGCGTGTGTTGGTTCATATGGTATCGAAGCATTGCAGCGGGTGGACGTTATGACGGACGAAAGCAAAATGAAAAAAGAACAAGATGAAATACATACAAATAATGTAATAATTAATTTAAACAGCATTTCCACCATTCCTTTTCAAAGAAATTAAATTATTGGGAACGCTGTTATTGGTACTGCTTTTAATACGAATGTTTTCGGTTTTGTCATCTATTAACATATTATGCAAACAGCAAGAAGCAAGTATTACATAATCAATTGTGCTTGGTTTAAGCATTATCGGCGAGGCGTATGGAATATTCGAAAAGTGTTTGATAGCATTTCAAACACACTTTCGGCCGTTCTTCGGGATCTACTCAACCGGTAGTTATATTGTCGTTTTTCTGTATCCATTTTACTTGGAGTAATAGGATAAGGTTTCACAAGGCTAGGTAATAATTTGAACTTTCCGTCTCCTATCAGAAAATGTAGAAGAAAGATGTTTGATCCAGGCAATTTGCAACATTCGGAAAAGGAAATGTCCCATTTTCAATTTGTTTTCCTAATTTTGATTTAGAAAAAATAACACTATCTCCCTCTTTTCCATAGGTTCCAATATCGACATAGAGAAATTTACAATTTGCATCTACTAAGGCTAACAAAACAATGGAAAAAATGTTTGTAATTGTAGAATAAGGATCCACTGTTCAATGGACATTGTATACGACAATGTTTTCCGTCTAAAGCACCGCAGCAATTGGGAAAACTCAATTTATCTAAAAAATCTTTGGCAACAACTTCCAATTTGCTTCTTGTTAATTTTGGTACATGTAGAGGTTTCATGTGTTTACAAATCGCTTTTAATGTGTTTTCCATTATTTTTGATATGTCCCAATTTGATATGACCACAACATGAAAAAAAAAACACAGACGCTGGCACAGCTTAGGCAAGAAACCAATCCACATGGAAGTATATTTCCCAATTAACATTTCTTACCCAAGTTCAATCAAAGAGAAGAACTGTAAGCAACGAAGAAGAAGCAGCAAGCGTGGAACGTCCTGTAGATTTAAACATCAATTTAAAAGAACCAGAGATTGTAGAAGGTACACCGAGGACGGAAGACATTGTGGGAGTCTCAAAATCTATTACAGACTCAAAACATTACAGAAGATGATCAAAAAATTGCTCAAAGTTCTCGATTAAATAATCAATAAGCTTTCACTCCCTCAAAAAAAAAAAAAAGTTAAAAACATCTCATGAAAATTTGATCAGTATTTTGGAAAAGAGGTAGCAAGTGAATGATCAGTTGTTTGAAAAATTTTTAGCGCAGACAGACACTGTACCAGAAAAATTTGCTATTCATAGTTTTTTTGAGTCCATGGCCGATACTCTTTCAAATTCTACACCACATATTATTGCCGAAACTAGGTTACAAGTTTGTAAAATAGTATCAGAGATGGAACTGAAAATGCAGAACGAACAGTGGCTGTTTTTGTGATAGTCAAAAATATTGTATGAATTTTTCATTATTACATTTAAGATGCGTATGAATTAAGTTACTGAATGTCCTTTCATTCTCACTAGTTTTAAATATATTGTGAGTCTGTCTTCTTTTCTTTAAAGTTCTAATTATTAGTTCAATATCTTCCTCTTCTTCAAGTTACAGTTTCAGCATCTTTTCATATCTACCAGCAAACTGACTAATTCTAGAGAAACCACTCAACCGTTACCGACGACGTGGGGACGTTAGCCCCGTTAACAACAGGGCCTCTCTTTAGTTTCCTTCATATATTAAAGATAAAAGAAGTTTAAATCGTATTACACAAATAAAAACTGTAAGTCCACAGTTCTTTTAACAAGTTTAATACTATTTTTCCCAATACTTTTCCTGTCAGACGTTGTTCTTTCCCTCTTTCTTGATTTTCACCAATTTTTATGTCCTCATGTATCTCAAATTTAGAGAAAAGTATAACCGTTTGAACTGCAAATATTTAAATTTATAATTTTTTAAATTCTCGTGAAGGGTAAAAAATTTAAAGGAATCATTTGCCTAATTGTGCAAGGAAGCCTCCAAGATGGGTTTGGCAAGAAATCAAAATAAAACAAAATACCTAATATGCTCCAGACAAAATACAGTTAATGTAAGGTTAAATATTGGGGAATATGAGTTTGAAAAGTTAGAACACTTTAACTAGCTTGAGGTCTTTCTTATAGGAATTAATGAAAGAAGCATAGTAATCAATGAAAGAATTCTAACAGGAAACAGAACTTTCTGGAAATATATTTTCTTCAAAAGATAAGAAGCTTGTGCTTGACACAGAAAGATGAAGAAAGATTGAGGATCTTAGAGAGAAAAATCATTCGGAAAATAGCACACCAACTTAACTTAGTTAATAATGAATTTAGAAAACTAATAAACCGTGAAGTAAGAGAACTTTTGAAAGGAGAAGACATCGTCAGATTTATCAAGGTACGGAGACTCATGGATGTGACATCTAGAAAGGAGAAATCCGGAAGCAGTTATTAAGAAAATCGCCAAATAGAGACCAGTATCAGGCAGACCACGAGGAAGACCAAAAACGAGATGAGAGAACCAGATAATTGTGGATCTTAAGAAGATGGAGTTAGAGATTGGAAAACCATAAGCAAAAACAGAAAATAATCAAGAAATATTGTAGAAGACGCCAAGTTACACAACCAATTGTAAAACCAAAGTGTTAATCGAACTGATTCCCGCGACAAATGAATCAGAAGAGCCCAAAGAGGGCGGAATCACTCCGCTAGGAGTGTAGATGCCATAATGATATTGCAGAATAGGTGTATCCTGGTTTTAATTATTAATTATTCGGACCATCTATTTAAGAAATAATTATGCGTTTCCAGACTTTTGGTTCACTCTGTATAAAAAGATATTTTAAAATCCATACCTTCCTGGAATGCAAAATTAACGAAAGATATATAGACCAATTATATTACAGTCTACAACAACATTAAGTGTATTTGTATTAAGTTTACATGAGATGGGAATAATTAACTTACTGATTGATTATTTGAAAGAAATAAATATTGCCATTTAAATAAAACAGTGATAGTTTTAAAGTGTAAACTTTTTAAAGTGTAAAAAATGTGACAACTTACATATTACTTTGTAAAACTGTGTTATTATACTTTAGTTTGTTACAAAAGATTTACATTTATTTTTCTTAATTTCAGGGTTTTAAAAACATTGCGAGATACAAAAACTCAAGATGAACTCCTAGATTGTGAAACTTTGAGTTTGGTGAGCAATGATGATGATTCGGAATACAACTCTGGAGGTTCTGTCAATTACAGAACGTATCACAAGAGTTGGGGATTGAAGAAAAATGTTCCTGTTATTACAAACACCAATTCTAACGACTTGAACAATCATCAAGTCGAAACTAGTCCTGTGGAAGAAGTTAATTCTGATGATGAGAACATTGAAAATGAGTGCAGAGTATTTTCGAAACCGAAAATAGTGAAACCGGAAGATAAGGTTATCACAGAAGAAGCTCCTGTTGAAGAAGTGCCCAAAGGAATAAGAGGTAAGGACCATTTAAGTCAGTTTTATTGAACTAAGTATGGATTAAAATAGCATTTACGATACTTCGACGTTACACAAAAGTTTACTTTAAAATTTTGAGCAAACTTACTTTCTGAGTTTTAGATTTGGTCTGTAAAAATAATCTTTTTCCGTATTGATATATTTAAAACATGATTCTAAATTGTATTTACTATCTTTAATGGGAATTAACTACAGTTTTAGTTGATGTTTATTCTGACGTTTCGATTTGAACTTGGGAAATAGTTCTCAAAATACGATTTCTGGGATGTTCTCTGTACTAAACGAATTGATTGAAACCTTTAGTGAACTGTAATTATTCCTAAAGTTTCGTCTGCACGTACGGTTTATTGTCAAAGATGTTGCGAGAGCGGAAATATCACAGATCTGAACTCGAATCTATTAGACAAAAATCTTTTCAACCTAGGTATTTCATGCATGTAGTAAAGTGTAAAGTAAATAATAACATAAAAATGTTAGAAAGGGAATAAAATACTGAAAACCATATTTAATAAATTCTCCAAAAACTTAAATAACCAATTCAGAACATATTTTTGGAGATCGATTATAAATATTGGAATTTTTTTTCTTTCATTTATTTGCAGTCTTTAATTTTATTTTTAACACTTTAACTCATTTACACTAACACTAAAACATAATTAATTTATAATATATATTTATTACTTGACAGTATAAAGTTATATTGGAGACTAAACCTACGATTTTAATTTAGTTATTTATATGTATATTCAATCGTTCTATAACTTCCATTGAAGGCGGCCCAAATCCCTATAGAAACTTGCGACTTGATTGTTGATCTTGAACAGTCGTTCATCGAGGCTAGATTCTGCGGGGCCATGCAGGGCAGGCGTAAAACAATACTTAATTAAGAATACACGAAGACAATAATAAGTATTATCAACTTAAAATAAATAACTCCTATACGAGAAAAAGGACGTTCATATCGAAGTAGAAGTAATGGATTTCGAGAAGAGCTATTACCTTGAAAATATCAGGTAAACTTGTGTACTGAATCAGCATGACTCATGGCTCTTGTTAAAATCCATTACCTCTACTTTCGTCGTACTTATTCCGTACATATTTTGTGAAAATTAGGAATACTGTAGTTTGCAGTATTTAATTTATACAATTAATTTTCATAAAGCATTGTAGAACCCATGAACTAAACTTAAAAAGCATAAAATTCTAAATAATATGAACATCACTTTAATTAACAGAATAGATGTTAGCTGAATAATTTTTTTACTAAATTTAACTTCTTTTTCAGGTCGTAGAAAACCACTTTATTCCAAAACAATTACCAATTCAACACCAAAGAATATAAAACCAGTCAAGAATATGACCTCCAATTTAGTGAAAAATGTCACATCGACGCTGAAATCGGGGACGGCTTTGAAAGCCGTGGTTGGAAGGCAAAACAAAACTGTAACCGCACAAACACAAAGTAGAACATCAAGTGGATACGGCAGTAGAAGCGTATCAAATTCAATGTCGCCAAAAACAAGTCCTGCCCGAACACCAGCAAGCACTAGAGGTAGTCCAAAACATGTGGCTGCTCCCAAAGCGACGAATTTGAATTCATTAAAAGGTAAAACACTATGATCTTTAATTAGCTATGTGGTAACTTCTGTTTTATGTATTTAGCTAACACGTTTGCTGCTATGACTAACACTTGTGAAGTGTTTATACACAAAAGATCATTCGGGTGGCAGGGTTTAAAGTTCAAGAGACTAAATGATCCGTTTGAAATGTATACTGAGTTTTGTGATCTGATTCCCCAATCTCTACAGTATTCAATATGTCATATTTTTTTTTTCTTGCAGTTGGTCCATATACTTTTTTTCTTATTAGTGTATCAAAGCTTTTTAGGTGTTTACGTTCTACGTAGAAAACCTTTTCTTGCAGTTGGTCCATATACTTTTTTTCTTATTAGTGTATCAAAGCTTTTTAGGTGTTTACGTTCTACGTAGAAAACCTATAATAGTACAGATATACGACGTATATGCAAGATGGAGAACATCAAGGACTGGGTAAGAAATAGAAGACTAGAGTAGAACGGTCATATAAGCCGAATGACAGCAAATAGAGTAGTAAAGACGGCAAGGGACGGTTTCCCAATAGGAAGACGATCAGTAGGAAGACCATTTAAACCATAGAAACGACAAATTTCAGATTATCACATTCCTTATAATATGCCTTTTTCAAGGGTTCAAAAAACGTGACGTCCAACGGCTGCATTCGGAGAGATGAATGCGGCGGTAGTGACAGCTTAGTTATATAGGCGTTCCTACAATAAGTATAGGCTTTAAGTGTTGCGTGACTAGAACGATTGTCTAGCAATTTATATATAATAACGGATTGATTACGGCTGTCTCCGCTTCTCCGCCCCCAATTTCCATCTTTTTCTGTCATATACTGTTGCCTCTTCTAAGTCTCTTGCCACCATCGCTTCGATTGCCGTCGATCCAGTATTGATATTTCGCTCCATTTTCCATTTCGTTTCTTATTTGTTCGTTTCTCTCTCCAGTTTCGATCTACCCCAGCTTCGTCTCAGATAATCCATTTCTGTCGTCGTAAGTTTGTTTCTATTAGCTTTGGTGACGTCCCATACTTCCGAACCATAAAGAGTAATACTTTGGACTATACTACCGTAAATGTGTTTTTTGGTTTCTCGTCGAATTGTTTTTTGCCAGAGAAGAGAGTTTAAGGCACGGGTCGCTGTTCTGCCCTTGTTTATTCTTTCCCTGATTTCATCTGCGCTATTTCCCTTCTTGTTGACAATGACCCCCAAATATTTGCAGGATTGTACGCCTTTGATTTTGTCGTCTTCCAAGACTAGGTAACATATTTCATCTGTTCCCACTGAGAGATATTCATATTTTGTCATATTCATGTTTAGACCTGCCACCTCATATTCTTCTTACAGTTTTCTTACATGTAGCTAAGATCGTAGCTGTCTTCGGCAATTATTACCTGGTCATCCGCAAAGAAAAGTGTATATAGCGTGTTTTCTTCCACCGTTATTCCCAGGTTTCTACAGTTTTTTACCCATTTCACTAAGGATCTGTCCAAATAGATTTTAAATAAGGTGGGTGATAGATAGCAGCCTTGTCTTAGTCCCTTTGTTGTTTGAAAAGGAAAGTTGATTTCTTATCCCATTTTAATTCTTGCAAAGTTTTGATCGTAGTATTTTTGAGTGACATTAATAAGAATTGGGTTTATTTTCAAGTTACCCATTTCTATCCATAGTTGGGAGATCGGTACACTGTCATATGCTTTTTCCATATCTATTAAAGCTATATGGGTTTCTCTATTTATCTGCAGTCTAGCAATTTCCGGAGTGGAAATCGAAACGTCAAACATTAGTTGGTTAAAAATGTAATTTTCATTTTTTTGTTTTGTTTTATTATAACGAACATTGTAATTTTATGTTGTTAAGGAACATATAAATATATTATAGTACATGCTCCCACTACAGGATTGATCACTGTTAATTAAACTCACATTTTTACATACAGTTACAATTAGGAGAATACATTGATAATAAATCGTCAGTCAAAAAGTGGCCGCAAAAATTTTTAATTCAGATAATAATTAATTTTCGAACTAACATTTTATTTCGTTCATTTATTTTTTAATTAAAATACGCTGCTTATGACGTATATGCATATTTTTTATATCAAATTAAAGCTATTTATTTTCTTAATATAATGGTATAAGATTGCCTAAAAAAATGGTCGCAAATTAGGTTTGCCAGCTGTTAAAAATGTGAGGTAAAATAGAGCGCAACGACACTGGTTTAACAAGTGATAATATGTATATTATTCATCGAGCAAAAAGACAAAAGAGGGAATCTAATTGTTATGAAAAGGAGACCAAAATTCATAAAAGTGGCCTCTTAATATGCAGGACATATCCGGGAATGCAAAGACACCAAATTCAAAGTAGCTATAAAATATTTTTCAGAATGAGTCTTAGTAGACGAGAAAGTTTTAATTAAATAATAACGATAATAGTCTAAAATGTGACACAATTGTTAAAAAACTTCAATATAAATAAGCTTTCATGTGGCAATTGGGACAAACAATAACATAACCCAACTAAATTTGATTTCTTAAACAAGGAAAGTGACTCTCTTTTCTTGTTTAAGGTGGCCTCTCAAAATAGCACTTCCCGTCTAACAATATTTTTGCCCCCACTACCTTTACATTCCCTCTTCTGTCTTTTTGTTCGATGATATTGTTATATTATCTATCGATGCATGCTTTAAAAACTCACACAACTGACTCTCAAACCAATAGCGTTGCGCGCCAGCTGTTTTTTACTTTGTCTTTGATACCTTGCATTTTTAACAGCTGGCAACCCTAATTTGCGACCATTTTTTCTCAGGAAACTTTATATAATCATATTAAGAAAAAATTAGCTTTATTATGATATAAAGACATGCAGTAGGATCTTATAGAGTGAACTATAAACTTAAAATTGGTAATATATCAAAAGTTAATTTATTTATAAATTAGGCGATCTGTTCCACCTTTTAATTTATGATAGTAATATATTCCTAACAGCTTTACGATTTTTGGCTCTTTTTCAATACTTTCTTTTTCTTAGGTACTCCGCCCTTAGACCGTCAAGGTACCTTCACAAAGGACGAAACAAATCCAAATAGTAATGCACCTTCACCTACAGTTACCAAAGCCACCAGCAAAATTCCCACAGTTTCCAAAATTCCAGCTTTCGCATCTAAAATAGCTTCTAAAATAACATCACCGTCTTCTATGTCTAAATTACCTGGAAAACCGCCCATAAGCACAACGAGAAATGGTTTTACAAAATCTGCCAGTTCTGATAGAGCAAACAAAAATCCTAAAGTGTATAATAGATCTACAAGTGCGGATAGTAGAGAACAGAGCACCAGGAAGATTCACGCAAGTCCTTCCAGTCAAAGCTTAAAGGGAGACGGAAAGATACAGCAGAATGGGGCTGTTAAGAAGTCTTCAATACCCAGTCTTACTCAAAGGTTAGTTAATCTATTTATTAAAGAATTATTTTAGTAATAAGTGTTGGATTCGACCATTACTTGATTGAAGTTGAGGATATTAGAGCTGCTTGTTTCATGTTGGCCACTCAGAAGTATATTAATTTCCATAGATTCTAATAAAGGAAGCTTAAGGCCTTTATTTTGAATATGAAGTATTTGAAATTGATCATTAAAAGAATGATTGTGATGTAAATTTTTCTTTTATTGAAAAGCCTTTCGTGTTTCGCTATACGATTATTAAAGGTTCTACCAGTTTGACCGATGTAACTTTTTGGGCAGTCACCACATTTAAGTTTGTATACACCACTGTGTAAGTGCTTTTTATTTTGGCTCTTGTTGTTCTTAATATATTTGCTTAAGTTGTTGTTTGTTCTGAAAGCTGATGTTATTCCTTTCTTTTTTTATATGTTTGACTATTTTTGTTGATGTCTTGCCTGTATATGTAAGCAATCAGAAGGTACTGGGTATTTTCTCTGGTGGTGGGAAGTCTAATTTCAGGGCTTCCTTATGCAATGTTTGGTTAACAATATTGTTTGTTGTTTCTTCGTTATACCGATTGTTTATTGCCATTTTCCTAATCATATTCAATTTTATCTCGAAGATTTTTTTTGATATGGGAATTTCTGTTAATCTATGTTACATGCTATGGTGGGCTGCCAATTGATGTTGTGTAGGATGAGATGATGAATTGTGTATGGGCGTGTCAGTATGTATAATTGTGAAATCTTGATTTGACGTGACAACAAACATGAGTTCTCCTTATTTCACAAACCTAGCCATATTGACACGACTGTACACAATTCATCATCCCATCGAAAAAATTATGATGAAAGAACTACACAGTAATTTCAACGAACTTGCTTCATGTTAGGAACCAGCTTATTGATATCATTCGATATGATGCCAATCATCTTCGGATAATTCTTCAAACTAAGATTTTTAACAACTAGTCTACATTTAACAAATAATCCTTAAAGTTCTCCTTATTCTTTTGTATATGTGTCAAATCATTTGGAAATTGTAATTGTAATAACAAACTCTTGTTTGTTAAATTTCTTGTTATATAAACCGTCTGTTTAAACCACTTGCAACCAGTTGTCTTGTTGAATATCTATTAATTCATGATACCCATTCCAGAATACTGGAACCTTTACCAGCTTTCACAGGTTTAGAGGATGGATTGTAATGGAATCACTTGCTAGAGTCCGAAGATTACCTCCTGAAATCTATTGTCTCTAAGATTGGCATGTCCAGTAAGGAAGTCTGTTATGAGTCTGAGCTATTACTGTTTGTTTTACATAGTATTTCAACTACTATTAATATATTATATATAATAATAATAATAAATATATATATATATATATATATATATATATATATATATATATATATATATAATAATATAATATTTATAAGGGCCCTAGAGGCACTTGGCTTTGATAGTCTTGACTAGTCTAGTTTTCTCCACTTTTTACGGTCCTTCACTTGTTCTTTCCAGTCTCTTGTTCCTATTTCTTCTATGCCAATCCGAACGGCCTCAAACTACTTCCTTCGTGGTCTCCCTCTTCTTTTCTTCTCTTATTCTCCTGCTTGTAGGACTCTTAGGACGTTTCTTTCTTTTGTCATTCGTAAAACATGTCCCAACCATCTAAGTCTCTGTGCACTAATTTTCTGCGTTATGTTAGGTCTCTTATAGAACTGCTTTATATCCTGGTTTGTTCTTCTGCGCCATTCCTCATTAGCCTAATTTACCTCACCAAAAACTTTTCTCAGGATTTTCCTCACCCCAAATCTCCAATTTTCTTTGATTTATTGTACAAGTTTCACATGCATACAATACTGTTGGTCTCGCTATTGTTTAATAAGTTCGAATCTTGGTTGCCCTGGATACGTTTTTTGCTTTCAACAGTGCGTTTAGTGATGTTACTGCTTTGCTGCCTTTATCGAGGATATGGTTAAGAACCATGGGTCGCTTGGGCCTATTCTTGAGATCGGCTACAGTCAACTCTGCTCCCTCCCCTAGACTCTTCACAGCTCTCACCACATATAGTTGAGAATATGTGGTTGTTTTGTATAGTATAAAACGCCTGTATTAGAAGAAATATGTGCAATAACTGATTAATATACATCAAATAACGTTGTCATTTTATAATTGTCATTGTATGAATCAATATTTTATCTTTTTCTGGAATTACCTTTTTGATATTATTAATTTTTTTAGATCTAGTAGTAATACAAGTTTAAATTCGAGTGGCAGTGCAAATGCAAAGAAACAAGTAACCAGTAAGATTGCAAGTTTATGGAAGAAAATTGAAGATAGTAAAAAACAGACACCTAAACCAGATAGTCGAGTCTGGATTCAAGCTGAAAGTGAAAATGAACCTCCTCGTTTAATTAGGTGAGCTAAAATTACCACGTTATAGGAATAATAATCCTTGTCACAAATTGGTCGCATTGCTCCTATAGTGATCATTTTCCAAGTTAATAACATTTTCTAACTTGGCTGCATCATACTGAAGACGACCAATATTCAGAAATACGTATATGCGGTTGCCCTTCATCTTATACACATATTTTATTATATTTTCTTCCTTTGTTGCGAGCTATGCCGATATCTTTTTTTATTTTACCGTCAACTCGCTTTAACCTTTTTCTTAAATCCACAAGGAAAATGATTCCTGCAGCTGGATGTATACCACGTATCACAAAAAAAGAGGTTAAATCTTTGTAAATGGGTATATTTAAAAAAATCCATAAAAGGGCTACATCAAATAACACGAACGTTTTCGGAATAATAATTCCATCATCAGGTTAAAAATGCAGGTTAAAATGCCTGAGCCACCAAAATATTAGGGTAAAAACCCTTTAAAATACATAAGGTTAACAAAGATTGTACATAGTGGTGTTTTTAATATTTGATGTTTAATATTTAATTAAATTTTCACTTTAGGTAACATACACCCATGCCTTAAGTAAGTTCCAGCGTGCGGAGAGTAAACCTCTTCAAACGGACTTCAGCTGGTAACTGTTACCAGCTGAAACATTTTACAATTTACAAAGATTTAACCTATTTTTTCTTATATATATATATATATATATATATATATATATATATATATATATATATATATATATAATTTGTTTACAATATAAATAATAAAATTATTTTATTCAATTTTAAAAATAAGGCTTCGCGCTAGTCTACAGTACTGGGTCATCTTTTTTTAATATCTATTCTTTATTGCTACAAATAATAAAATCTATAGTAGTTAAGCGCCTATATTGTTTATGTTTTCTATTGTAAATACATGATAACTTATTAAGAAATGTTTTTAGGAGCAACACATTTGACAATAAAGATGGATCAGGATTGAAGACGCGTTGCGAAAATGAAGAGAAGCGCATTTCAAGGTTGGACTCTTTCGTTATAACAGATGACGGTGGGGATGGAGTTACGACTGATAGTTTTTAATTTAGTTTCAATTTAGTGTTCTTTTAAGGGCATTTTATATTTTTAGCATTTGACTTTATATATTGTGAATTATTTATTGTAGATACAAAAACAATACAATGTATTACTGCTTTATACTTCAATTTATTTTGATTGGTTAGGTTATTGTGTCTACATTTTACTAGATTTTGTACTATCATTTTTGAAGACATTTTTCAAACATTCAGTGGAGTTAATATTTATTCAGTGTTATGGTAAATTTGTAAACTTTTAACTTTGCATTGTGAGAAGTCTAGTAAAATGGTTAATGTTAAATAAATTAACCTATTTTCAAATGTACTCTTAAAATATTGAACAATGTTTTTCTTATTTTAATTTAAGCCATGAAAATGTATTTCTAGTCGCTGTTATTTTGAATAAGACTGTATATTGTATTTATTTAGGTAGCGTTATACTGTTCCCGTGATAACTTAGTGTAATTTGTATATATAATAAAGAAGAAGTAGTTAGTAATAGTTTTTTAAGATTTGTATTTCCTTTCGATTTTTTAATTAGCGAGGCACTTCTGGAGCTCGCTATTCTAGTTAGAGGCTGTTTTTTGTCATATATTCTAGATAAAGTCGTTTATATGAATAAATATGCTTTTAAGTTCATTTGTTGCGTTAATCATATTGTTTCTTTTGATTATTTTCAAACCACAAACGATTTATCGTTACAAAAAAAGTAGTATTGAAGATTGCATTAGTCAGGGCAAGCCTACAAAAAGGCGTTAAAATACCAAGGAATGAATATACGAGGGCAGTCTGTTAAGTACTTAGCCTACAAAAGGAAAACGAAAATGTTGGAAAAGTTATGATTTATTTCACAGGTTCACACATTCAAAAAGAAAACGTTTATTAAGGTGGTATGTCACAATGTTAAAATTTATATACTTTTTAGGTACAGTTATCGTCAGTATTCCAAAACAAATCTTCAACTTATGATTATGTACGTAATCTGTAAACTTTCAATTTTATTGATATCTAATTAGAATTTCCAAAGAAAGCAGTAATTTTTTCATATCTGTACTTAAATGAATCCATGTTATACCTTACGTGGTAACGTGCCTAAAAATTGGTATTGTGGAATAATTTTTAAACTTAGGTACAAAATAATTACGTTAAATGATTAACTATTCAAAAATCTCTATTTTAAGCAAATGTTCGTTATCGATACTGCCGTATTTTTAAATTAACTGTACCTAAAGATAAAATTACAATTAAAAGCTGCAAACTAGGGATTTTGTTGATGTTACCGTAATAAGTTGGCATTTTGATAGTGAGAAATTAGTTCGACTATCACTTAATAGATGGGAAAATAAGTTCATGTGTCATTTAGTAGAAGGCAGCGGTGATGTATTAAATGGTGACAGATGCGAGTTTGTCGAATTTAAGAAAAATCTGCAAAACATTGAAAACTAGTTTTTTGGTTATGCCAATTGTTTATGGGTTATGCAGTAACCATGGTAATACGAATCACGTGGTTTTGTCAGCAAATCGGCCTCTACCAGTTAATATTTTAGCTTCGTTTGACTTTATGTATTTAATCATGATTGTATAACGTCACAATGTCTTAAATATACAAGTACATACCGGGTGGTGAATCGCCAAACAGGCCATAGGAAATTCAATGGGAAATTCTAAATTGTTGAATTCCTGCTTCCCTAATTATTTTACATCAAAAGTCATAAGAAACTATTTGTAGAGGACTGAAATATGTATTAAAAACAAATGTTAAAATTGTTTTACGAATTAAATGTATTCCAAAATTTTGTCAAAATATAATACATTTTTTAGGCCACCCCTTAAAGTCAGGTCACACGAGGTACAAGAATCTGTATGACATGTTGCGTTTGGTCATATTGATGATTCTGATATTTGACAATGGAAATACGACGAAAACTAAGCGAGAACGAAAAGGGAAACAAAGAAGAATATAAAAAACTAAATAAAAGAATTTCAGCGGAAATTAGAAAAGATGTAAGAAGATATAATAGTAATGTAATTACTCAAACAGTAGAGGGGAATCAAGGTTTAAAGATAATGAAAAGAAAACTCACACAAAGTAAAAAAGAAATATACAAGCTGAGAGATAAAGACAGAAAGGCAACAACAGATAAACAAAACGTTCTGAAAATAACCAGAGAGTTTTATAAAGACCTCTATACCAGCCAAAGACCACAAGACAATTTCCCTACACGAGTAAAGACTCTCATAATACAGGGATCGGAAATACTTTTACCCATTACTGTGTCCGAAGTAAGAGCAGCTTTAAAGGAAATGAAGAACCATCGATCGCCTGGTGATGATGGACTCGTTATCGAGGCAATAAAAGTGGGAGGAGAAATTTTATTAAAATCAGTAAGGGAACTGTTTAATAAATGCTTGCATGCGGGTACGATTCCAAAAGACTGGAATTATGCAGTAATAGTCTTGTTACACAAAAAAGGCGATATTACTAAATTAGAAAATTATAGCCCCATCAGCCTCTTGACACATATGTACAAACTCTTTGTGAAAATCTTAACAAAGAGGCTAACACCTAAACTTAATTTCTATCAGCCCAAAAAACAGGCAGGCTTCAGGGCAGGATATGGCACAAATGACCATTTGCATAACATAAAGATCTAAATAGAAAAGTGCATCGAGTACAACATACCACTAGTTCTTGCATTTGTCGATTACGACAAGACTTTTGATTCTGTAGAGTTTGAAACAATACTGGAAGCCCTAAATCAAAGCCGAATAGATTACAGGCACACGACACTAATCAAAAACATCTACGAGAACGCTACATCAAGTATACGACAACACGAAGACACAGAAAAATTCAGCTTAGGTCGAGGAGTTAAAGGAGACAATATTTCACCAAAATTGTTCACGGCAGCTCTAGAGTCAATATTTAAGAGTACTCAATGGCAAGGTATGGGCATCAATATAGATGGAGAAAGATTAAATCACCTAAGGTTTGCAGATGATGTTGTATTAATCGCAGATAACTTACATGATACAGTTTCTATGATGCATTCGCTTTAAAGGCTGTCTGAAAGAGCAGGATTAAAAATAAAGATTGAGAAAACTAAACTTATAAATCTCGTAATGAGTGGATATAGTTATATAACTATTGACAATAATACCATACAACAAACAGACACTTACAAATATCTGGGACACAAAATCAAAATAAACAGAGACAATGAAACACATGAATATAGAGGCGATTAGGCCTAACATAGGCAGAATTTGGCAAATTCAGCCATATTCTAAAAAGTTCAATTCCCATGTGTCTCAAGCGAAAGGTTTATAACCAATGTGTTTTGCCTTTACAAACTTATGGAGCAGAGACTTTACCACTGACGCAAAAATCTGCGAATAAACTCACACAATGGATAAACTCACACGTATTATGGAATGGAGGCCCAGAAACTATAAAAGAAGCCGAGGACGACCACCGACTAGATGGACCGATGATATAAAACGTGTAGCGGAAAACTGGCTATAAGCAGCCCAGTGTAGAGAACACTGGAAGGAACTGAGGGAGGCCTATGTCCAGTAGTGGACACGATTGGCTGATTGATGATGAAGGTAGGTTTTGCTAAGGTACGATTAATATTGATTGTGAGTACGAATTATGGGCTGTTTAGTAACTTACGTAGAAAACATGATTACTATGTTTACTAGATAGTTCGGACTGGGATTAGTGAACCGAGTATATGAATAAATTTCATTCATATATTTCAGTACTGATTGGATGAGGCCGGCATCACTTCCGAAGCACTACCTTTATTCATTCATTCTCCATTCATACACATCCACACTCCTATTTCGGCATCATTCTCAGAAGGGCATTTTCTCCTTCCCCACAGTCAAACTCACGCATTCTAACTCAAAAAGTGTGACCCAGTGTTCTAACTTCACCTTTCAGCATCATTCACTCTACCTTTGCCGTTGGTCCAGCTGTCTTTCTTCCTCTTCCTTTTTTTTGATCACTGCACGGATATAACTGTGTATGTTAATCCAACCTAATTTATTTTCAATCATTCTCTCAATCATTTCTCTCACTGTAACAAAATTCACACCTGTCTCTCTCTCCATTCTGTTCCTTTCCACTATCCATCTGCTGCAATCTAACATCGTATGTGTCACAGTGTCCGAGTATCCACAATATAGGCATTCATCTGTATCAGCCTTACCGATCCTATAAAGGTAGGCCCTAAAACACCCGTGTCCTGTGAGCACCTGCGTCAGGAAATAATCCAATCGCCTGTGGTCACAGTCCACCCAAACTCTTATGTTAGGGATCAGCATTTTCGTCCACTGTGCCACATCCTCCGTATTGTTCCATTCTTCTTGCCATCTTTCAACTGACCTTTCCCTTACCTGTCTTCTCTCAGCCACAGTAAGGTTTGGGCCTCTTCTCTCATAAAGCTCTTTTCTTTCCACCGCCAAAATATGCAACGGAACACATCCAGTGATGGTCCACAAGGCTGCCGCAGACACAGTCCTGTAGGCGCATGCCACTCGCAACAGACTTGTTCTGTCTACTCGTTTCATAAGACTCCTAAAGGCCGTTATCTCTACCGCCTCGCTCCAGACTGGTGCTGCGTAGAGAACGATAGACTGTACAACACCGTGTAAGGCCCTTCTCCTTTCGGATTTGGGTCCTCCAATGTTCGGCATCACTCTCCCCAACGCAGCCGCACTATTCGCAGCCTTTCGGACCACCTCCCGAACGTGTTCCCCCCATTTTCCATTCTGGTGCAATGTCACTCCTAGATACTTTACTTGTCTCTTGGGTGTTAGACATACTCCCGCACATTTCAATTCAACACCTTGCCTGTTAATTGTCCCCTTCAGAATAATGGCTTCGGACTAAAACTTGCGACACTCTGTCGCAAGTTTTAGTCCGTGCTGCGTCATCCATTTCTTTACAACGCCACCTGCGTTCCGAACCCGGTATTTGAGATCTGGCTCATCCCGGGCTACTACCAGTACAGCGAGGTCATCCGCGAATGCGATGACCTCGCTGTATTGGTACTGATATATATACTGATTGGATGACTAAGACCTTAATCTGCGAGGAAAGTATTGGCTTGAGAATAGATAAAGACAAATCTGGAAAATAACGTGGATGTTCATAGTGCAGATTCCTCAATGTGCCCATTTACAGGTTAGTTAAGAGAACACTTTTATTTTCCTGTTAGAAAAGGATTTTTTCTCTTTAAACCAGATCAGTTTTCACGAATACTTGCATTCAGTTTTACATTCTTGAATATCAATCAAAATATTGTTTCAAAACTGTTTCATACATTTTTGTATGAGCAATGTATAAGCCACACAAAATAAACCTTATTTTACGATGAATTATATCAACGCACCATACTTATTTCTTTCCATTTAATACCAAACGTATCGTAACTTCTTCAAACGTCTGCCTACAGTCAATTGGCGCCTGTAATGACTTTTTTACATAAAACTACTAACACGTGTGTCAACATAAGAAGAACTTATGAGATCGCCTAGTATTGTATTTTCTAAATATTATTCTTTTAAAATTTCTCTTCTAAGAGGTTAAAAAACATTGTTGCGAATATCCAATTGAAGATTTATA